TTTATGGATTTTGCAGAGAAGGTAGGATGAGAGAAGCTATGAGGATGTTTAGTGAAATTAAAAGTGCAGCTCCCAATCACGTGACATATACTACGTTGATTGATGGTTATTGTAAAACGAATGAACTGGAGCAAGCTTTGAAAATGCGTGAGCTGATGGAGGCTAAGGGATTGTACCCTGGAGTTGTTACTTATAATTCAATTTTGCGCAAGCTGTGTCAAGATGGCAGGATAAAAGATGAACAAGCTTTTGAATGAGATGAGTGAAAGAAAAGTTCAAGCTTGAGAGAATATACATTACTCAGCAAATGTTTTCAAAAAAATTGTTCCTGAAAGTTTGCGTAAGTTTCTGTATTCCTCTATTCATGTGTGAGTCTGCTATGGCTCAAATTGTATACAGTTAGCAAGAAATAGAGAAAGAAAATGTTAAAAATATCATTTGAATTATATTTTTTATTTATGCCTGCATAGATATTGGACGTTTTTCATTACTATTCGATGAGAGCTTGGGATGGCATTGGCTTCAAATGAAAAGCAAGGATAAGAGAACAGATACTGCAAGTGTGGACATGAAATGGTATAACCTTGATAGACTGCAAAGGAGGTGAAGTTTGCTAGTAAGCGCAATGCAAAGATCTCTTGGGTATACTTTACTATTGGATGAGAACAGATATTTTTTATTTATGTTTCTTTATTGAAAAGGGAAAGAATCGAAATATGCATTTATTATACCCAACGAAAAGTTGCAAATTTTTTTTTTTCACTCAGGGTATACTTTACTAATATTCACTCAAGTAAACAAAAAAAACATATTAGTATATCACGAAATAAAATTGGTTTGTCATGTAAAAAAAATAAAATTAGATATTTTTTCAGTAGTTACGTTTTTTTTTTTTTTTGGTAATCAGTAGTTACAGTCTTTGTTTTGAAGAATTATACATCCAACTCATTAAATTTATCTATCTTATATATATATATATATATATATATATAATTTAAATTTAATATAAAATTATTGAATAAACAAAAAAAAAAAAAAAATTATATATATATATATATATATATAGTTGATAAAATTGAAATTTGAAATTTAATTGAAAATAATTAAGAAATGACATATTTATACTTTAAAAGAAAATAAAATAAAAACTTAACTTAAAAGAATAATATAAAAAGATAAAAAATTTCCATACAAGTATTTTTAAGAAAATATTTAATATAAACCTTTTAAATATATATGTATAATCAATTTAAAATATATATAAAAATTAAAAATTAAAAGAGAACAAAATTATTTTTTAAAAGTATGTATAATCAATACAAAACAATTTAAATTTTAAATTTTAAATTTTAAAATTAAATAAAAAAATTAAAAATGACAAATATTATTCGGTTAAAAAAAGTAGAAAAATTTATTGACTATAAATATGTAGATTTTAATTTAATGCATATGAAAGAAATTAAATTTTTACTCGTTTGATGTAAGAGCATAATTAACACAAAAGATATACCAATGATTGTGATTTTTGAAGAATTATACATCCAACCATTAGATTTTATAGATACTTAATAATTGATTTTTTTGGAACATATAATGTCAGAAAATTTATATAAACTGAACTAATGTTAAATATATTCTAAATTAAATAGAATTGCATAAGATATGCAATTTTTTTTTTATTTCTCCAACATTTGAGACGAAATGTCCAAAGATCTGAGACAGCGTATTATACAGTGGAAGTAGTTGAGATTTGCCACTATTTATATTTTTGTCAAATGGAAAAAAGTGAGTGGTCAAAAGAAGGATTTTGTTTCGGTGGGAAATGCAAAAAATGGAATTTGCAGTCCGCTTACCCTTCATCCTGAAAAAATGCAAGAAAAATCTTGGATTTTGAATTTTCATCATGGATTTAAGGCATATTAAAAGATTAAATGTTTCTCTTGTTATGGGAGATAAATTTATTTTTTATACACATATAAAAGTATATAAAATCCATGTGGATTCATATAAAAAAAATAATGAAAAAAAATATATAAAAAAATTATTTTCTATAACATGAGAAATATTAATCTCTATATAAAATTTACAAATATGGAATATTGTAATAATATTCTAGCAAGAAAAAAGAAATAGTATGATAATAAAAACTATAATGGATAAGAATGACCTATAAAAAATTTAACAGTGGAGCAACGAAATCATTACTCAATATTAATCATCCGCTCAAGATTTGATTTGATTTGTTTTGATTTGTTTTGTTTTTCAACATAATATTATTCTGATTTTTATTACCGTTACAATGACTAACAGTTATGATTCTTTATTGACAGTTAAATGTTTATAAAAAGGAATCTTTTATGTTTCTTTATTCAAAAGGGAAAGAATCGAAATATGCATTTATTATACCCAACGAAAAGTTGCAAAAAAAGTTTAGTATGGCGCTGTTGTCTTCTTTTCTTGTTTTAATTAACAATATAACATTAATTTGTCACTTTTATTTCTATAATTTTTTTTATTAATTTCAATAGCCTTTTCATTACGCTTAATTGGCATATAAATTAAATTTAAAATTAAGGATATTATATATGGTAATTTAATAATCTATCTATATCTTAATATATATATATATATATATATATAAATTTAAATTTAACATAAAATTATTGATTAAACGAAAAAAAAAGTTAACAATATAAAAATATATATATAGTTAATAAATTGAAATTTGAAATTTAATTGAAAAAAATTAAGAAATAAAATATTTATACTTGAAAAAAAACTAAAATAAAAACTTAACTTAAAAGATGAATATAAAAAGATAAAAAATTTCCATACAAGTATTTTTAAGAAAATGTTTAACTGTCAATAAAGAGAACAAAATATAAACGTTTTAAATATATATGTATAATCAACTTAAAAAATATATAAAAAATATAAATTAAAAGAGAACAAAATTATTTCAATTATAATTAATACAAAAGAATTTAAATTTTAAATTTTAAAATTAAATAACAAAATTGAAAATGACAAATATTATACGGTTAAAAAAAACTAGAAAAATTTAATCACTATAAAAATGAAAATTTTAATTTAATGCATATGAAAGAAATTAAAATTTTACTGTTTGATTTAAGAGCATAATTAACACAAAAATTCTACATAAAATAAGGACATAAAACAGAATGATTTTCTGGTAACGGATATATATAAAAAAATTGCTTATTTTAAAAATTCACTCACGGTATACTTTACTAATATTCACTGAAGTAAACAAAAAAAAGCATATTAGTATATCACGGAATAAAATTGGCAGAATTATAAATTAGTAGGATTTTGTCATTTCAAAAAAATAAAATTAGATATTTTTCAGTAGTTATGGTCTTTTTTTTTTTTTTTGGTTATCAGTAGTTACAGTCTTTGTTTTGAAGAATTATACTTCCAACTCATTAAATTTATCAATATCTTAAAATATATATGTATATATGTAAAATAAATTTAAATTTAATATAAAATTATTGTTTAAACGAAAAAAAATTAAAATTATAAAAATATATATATAGTTGATAAATTGAAATTTGAAATTTAATTGAAAAAAATTAAGAAATGACATATTTATACTATAAAAGAAAAGAAAATAAAAACTTAACTTAAAAGAATAATATAAAAAGATAAAAAATTTCCATACAAGTATTTTTAAGAAAATATTTAATATAAACCTTTTAAATATATATGTATAATCAATTTAAAATATATATAAAAATTATAAATTAAAAGAGAACAAAATTATTTTTTAAAAGTATGTATAATTAATACAAAACAATTTAAATTTTAAATTTTAAAATTAAATAACAAAATTGAAAATGACAAATATTATTCGGTTAAAAAAAGTAGAAAAATGTATTCACTATAAATATGTAAATTTTAATTTAATGCATATGAAAGAAATTAAATTTTTACTCTTTTGATGTAAGAGCATAATTAACACAAAATATTTACCGGTGATTGTGATTTTTGAAGAATTATACATCCAACCATTAAATTTTATAGATACTTAATAATTGATTTTTTTGGAACATATAATGTCATAAAAATTTATATAATATTTTGCCAAAAAAGTTGTAAGGACTTATAGAGAGAAAATAGTATTAATATAGATTATTTTTAATACCAATTTTTTATTAGAAAAATATATATTATGTCAATATTCATATAAATATTATATTGCTTCTTAATTAGATTTGTCTAATATGTTGATTTTAATAAAAAATTATACATTTTTGTGCTAAGAAAAATCGCGACCTATAACTTGAAAAATCATTTTTTAAATTTTCAAAAGCTCTAAAAAATCTAATGTTTTTGAGATGGATTAGGTTAGACTTTTGTTGGATTGTTATTTCTGTGTTGTTTTGTGATGAAAATCGCTTAAAAATTTATTTTTTTAGCTTTGATGAAGCTCTCCTAGCGAAACCCGGTTTCGAGCGGGTAGACCCGCCAAAAGAAAAAAAAACTTTGCAATTAGAAATCTTAAGAAAACATAGAGGTTAGTATAAGATTGTAAAAAAGACATCATATCTGTATTTCTCACTAAAAAATCTAATAAAATTTACATTAATAGAAAATTAACTAAAATCGTCATATATTTTGATATCACAAGATTTTTTTCTTTATTTAAAATACTTTTAAAATACTTGTTGAATACCACCGGATTTGACTGCACTCTAAAATAATCTTTTAAATTCTTAATCAAATATTAAGTGATTTTTTTCAATCCTTCAAAATCATAATTAAATATTAGTAGATTTTTTTTTGCAATTCTTTAAAATTTCAATCCATAGAAAATCTTTCCAAATTAGCACCCTGTCTCTTTATATATATTAGTAGTATATGTCTATTTTATTTAATTACTCTTCACAGTAATCCATTACCCTCTCCTTCCCTCTGAAACTGCGAATTCCTTTTTTGAATACTCTTCTTCACTCGGTCTCGTCTCGTCTACTGCTATGGCAGAACCATCCACCGCCGAAACCACCTCCGCCAGCGATGCTCATCCGCCGGCGCCAGCTTCCTCGTCGCTCAACGTCCTCGGATTAACGATCGACGAGAACAAGAAGCCTTCTCCCAAGTTCTTGGACGAGCCTGAAGACTCCAACATCCAAGCGGTTGGTTCGATCCCCATTCCCGATTTCTCTTTTCTCTCTTTCTCGGCGAGAAATTGACGGTTTATGGTTTTGAATTTATGTGCAGGTTTCGTCCGGCGACACTCCGTACACGTCAGCTACCACCTTCGAAGAACTGAATCTCTCACCGGAGCTTTTGAACGGACTCTACGTGGAGATGAAGTTCCATAAACCTAGTAAGATCCAAGCCGTAACCTTGCCTATGATCTTGAATCCTCCGAATAGGGATTTGGTCGCACACGCGCATAACGGTTCCGGAAAAACCACGTGTTTCCTTCTTGGTATGCTTAGTCGAGTTGATCCAAAGTTGCAGGCTCCTCAAGCTTTCTGCATTTGCCCAACCAGGGAGTTGGCTATTCAGGTAAGGTTCTAAGACATTGCTTTTTTAAATCGACATATAATCTTATTCTTTCATGGATTAAATAACCCATAACTATGGTTGGAAGAGCATTACTTTGGAGTCAGATTCTGTTCAAGCTTTAAGCTATCTTACCAAGTAATCTTGCTTGATCCTGCTTGATAATCTTATTCTACCATATAATCCTGCTTGATCCTGGACAAGTCCCAGCTGATGTTTAGTTACTACTGTTCGATCTGCTATGGCTAACAGTAGTGCCTTTTACGCTTTCTGTTTTTTGCTGTCTTTGTAGTTTGCTTTTAGGTTCTGTTTTTGTCTTGTGGGGCTATGCCCCATGTAATTACCAAAAATAAAATAAAAAAAATAACCCATAACTAAGAATGCAATAGCTGGTGGCCCCATACTTCCGGAAGAAAAGCTATATCCCTCCAAAGGGATATCTGATCGTGAGCCCTAGAAGTTTTTATTTTTTCTTCTTTTTTTTTGGAAAAGCTCAGCAATGCCCTGCGTGGTTTACTAGAATCACCTATATCCCGTTGTTTTTTTTATCACATATGTCTATTTGCAAAAAGTTATGTTTTTTATCACACATGCAGCTGTAATTTTTTTTTCACAAACCACATGGGTATATGTGATAAAAAAAAAATCACAAGGCATAGGTAATTCTAAAACAAACCATTTACTACAAAATCACCTATGCCTTTGATTATTTTTTATCACTCGTGTGGTTTGCGAAAGTATATGTTTTTTTATCTGCTCCCGTGATTTTTTACTTTTACAAACCATGGAACATATGTCATAGGTGATTCTAAAGCAAACCAGCTTCGGTGAACTTTCCTGTTTGTTTTTTTTTATTCGTTTGTTAATCACTGTTATCGAACTTTTCCTCGTGATTTTTTTATTTTTTACAAATCAATGGGACATATGTGATAAAAAACATTGGGCCATAGATGATTCTAAAACAAACCGGCATTGGTGAACTTTCCTCTCTTTTTTTATTCGTTTGTTAATCACTGTTATCGAACATTGTGATTTGTGACTGTGTTAGTTGTAGCTTGATGATTATTGTGTTGTGTGGCAGAATACTGAAGTTCTCCGAAAGATGGGAAAGTACATGGGGATTAGCTCAGAATGTGCTATACCAGCAGACAGTAGTGATGCTTTGCCGATAGCGAAACGGGCACCGATTATGGCTCAAGTGGTTATTGGGACCCCTGGCACGATTAATAAGTGGATGGCTTATAAGAAACTTGGGGTGACAAGGTTGAAGATTCTTGTTTTTGATGAGGCTGATCAAATGCTTGCTCAGGTAATTCTATCGTGATAATGAAATGTTGTTTATTTAGAATTTGAGGTTTCATTGTCCTTGGACTAGGCAAGCACATAGCCTTATCATTCTCCCTGAGCTTATTATTGTTACAATCTTTTGGGGAGTTGGCAACACCCTTGTTTTTTAATAGAATAAGTTACAATTAAATGGTAAGTTGTGACTCTCCTCCTTTAATGATGGATAAAGAGGAAGAGTGCACTAGTAGACCGCTTGTTTTAACCATAGTTTTAAATAGCGGGTAGCGGCCGACCCCAAAAACGCTATAGCGGTATAGCGGGTAGCGGTAAAACCGCTACTGTGAAGTCCATATAAATACTTATAATAAATTATACCACATATATTAATGCTATATAAATGCTAAAAGATAAGAAATCACCCAAAATAGGAGGAAATAAGTAATGAAAAGTATGATACTACACATTCAAAACAAGGATTAAAGGGAACATAAAGGAAGCAACATACTAGTTCATTGAAGGAAACTAAATTAATAATATTCTAGGAACATAAAGGATCCAAGTAGAGTCAAATACAAATTGCTCTATCAAAGTCAAGAAGGAAAAGAACTAATCAGAATTATCATCAAACATTTCTTCAAAGCCTTGTTCTTCTCCACCCTCACTTTCTTCACTAGTGTTAAATTTGTAGATTTGTTCATCCTCATCTTCTATTTCTTGGTTATCACCTTCTTCAATCTGTTCATCCCTTATTCCCTTAGAGCTTGATGGCATAGAGGCAGCTTCCTTCCTGAATCTAGTATGCTGCCTAGTGTAAGTTATAGGCTCATTAGCCCCAGTTACATTAGCAACATCTCCCCAAGTCAATGTATCATCATCAAAAACAAACTCATTTTCTGCATCTTCACCCACTTCTCCCACCAACCATTCATTACTTTCATCAATGTCTTTTAGGACAATAGGAGAGGGAAAGAAGATGACTACAGAAAGAAAACCATATTTGCCTCTTTTCTTAGCAAAAGTCTACGGAAAGAAAATGATGAAAAAGACGAGGGAAGAAAACAAGATTTCCCTCTCTTTTCATCAGCAAGATATAAAAAACAAATGCAAGTATATATATATATATATATATATATATATATATATATATATATTTTACATGTATTTATATTTTATTTTATCTTTGATAATATGCATTTATATTACATTAAACTGGAAAATATTTTTATTGTATCTTTTATTAAATTTAATAAAAAGTAATATAATTAATTTTTTCATTTTATTCTCTTGATTATTGACACTTACATTCTAACATTTTTTATTTTTAATAAAACAAACCCTTATATAAAAAAATATCCTTTAAACTAATACTTAATATCATCTAATTCTAATTTAAATAGATAAAATATCTGAAAATTTTATATCTTTTCTACACTTTTTTAAATTATATATCACATCTAAAAAATTATGTGATTCTAATTTGAAAAATTTCAAAAGTTTAAAAATAAACCCTTTTTTAAAAACAAACCCTTTTCTAATTTAATTTATATCTTGTTTAAATTATATATTTACAAGTTTTCAAAAACTTTTTTTAAAAGATTTAAAATAATTATTAAAATGGAGGAATTGAAAGCATATTATCAACAATGAAAAAAAGAAAGAGAGGAAACGTGTAGATATAGACTTATATCTGAAAAGCAGATGTGTGTGACAGCCAAAGAGAAGTGTACGGGACTGCAAGGAGTGTGACAGCAAAGAGATGTGTACGTGGCAGGTGTGCATGTGACATGATGACTGATTCAAACTTAAAGTTTTTTTTTTAAAAAAAAAATTGGCTGGCTTTTAAAGTTAAATATCTATTTTACCCTTCATTTATCCTTCCTTTTTTCCCATTATACCCTTAAATGATAATCTAATTTAATAAACACAGCCACCGTACTTTCAGCGTTTCGTCTTCTCCATTAACGTCTGCAACTCTTCTTCCTTTCCCTGTAGCGGCTTAATAACGTTGTAAGAGCTGTTGGCCGCCACTGCCGCCACCGTACGCTACCGGCGTCTACCGGAAACTGTGGCGTCGCGGTTCGAAAGTTGCGGCTGGGTGCCGCAACCCGCACCAGAACCGCTATCGCGCGCTATAGCGCCGCTATTTCAATCATAGGTTTTAACTCATGATAATATATATCTTTTTCTAGTTAGTAATTACTCTCTAGTAAGTATTCTAGAGATCCTAGGACCTAGTTTTAGGTTCAGGGAATTGTTATGGTTTACTGAATTAGTATTGTGATTTTCTTTTGTTTTTTAAAGCAGAGGTATTCGCAGTTCGGGTTCTAAATATGTTGTGCCCTAACTTGCTTAATTACTGTAAACTTTGCAGGATGGATTTAAAGATGATTCCCTGAGGATAATGAAAGGAATAGAAAAAGTCAATTCTAACTGTCAGGTTTGTTGAACTCTTTCTTGCGTAGTGTGCTTGTGTGCATGGCATTTTCATCCATCCAAGAAATTCTGGCATAGACTTAGTCTACAAGTTGCATAGCCTAAGCTAAGTACACACTTGACACATCGTCATTTTACATTAAATAACTACATGATATATGTGTCAATCTACTACTTTTAAAATGATAATGTATTAGTTTATGTTTTGGTTTTATTTATATGACTTGTGTAGATCAAATCTATGCAAGAATTTATCAATCCATAGGGACAGCACATCCATGTATACATGTTGTTTAAATTACCGTCACCCATCCTTCAACCTGTTCGGGTAGAACACCTGCCAATTCATGGAAGGTCATGCTCTCCCTGAGCCCTTGTGCAACTTGTGAAGTATATTTAAAAGAGTAAAGTGATTCATTCATCTTATAAGAACAGAAAAAAGTATGAGGAATTTTTTACGTAGTACATCATGCTCAATCAAATAATATTGCATAGATATGAAGATTGAATGTTAATTTGATTGATGCTAATGGTTTGCTATAATTTAATTTGAATCTATGTAGAAGGGAATTATAACTGTTCCTTGTTATTTTTGTGCACCATAACCATTTCGTCTGTACTTAAATGAACATTTTACCAAGATTGGTTGCTTTGTATGTGATTCAAATGTTGTGTGTGCTTGTATGTGATGTAGTTGTTTTTTTAGTTTCTTTTCTTATCTAAGAAGATTTTGATTGACTTGTGTATGTCTAGGTTCTTCTGTTTTCTGCTACATTGAATGACATTGTCCAGAATTTTGTTTCGAGGACAGTCAAGCAGGATTATAATACACTTTTTGTGAAGGAACTATCTTTAGATGCCGTAAAGCAATATAAAGTTCATTGTCCTGATGAACTCTCTAAGATTGAAATGAAAAAAGATTACATACTCGAAATAGGAGAGAATCTGGGGCAAACTATAATATTTGTGCGCACAAGAAATAGTGCAAAAATGTTACATAAATCACTTGTCGAAATAGGAGAGAATCTGGGGCAAACTATAATATTTGTGCGCACAAGAAATAGTGCAAAAATGTTACATAAATCACTTGTTGTCGCTCCTGTTGTCGCTCCCGTCGCCCCAAGTAAGGGAGTCGACAAGGGAAAAAGGAAAGTGGTGAACATTGTTAAAAGGAAGGTCCGGTCTGCAGCGGACATTCCTGCCGAGGAGCTTGCTAGGAGGACTGGCGGCCCGGTTATTAAGGATGTGCAGGAGAATGCCCAGAGTTTGGCGGTCAACCCTTCTGCACCTGAAGTTATTCCTCCTAAACCAACGTATTCTGGAAGGAAGAGGGTTGCTAGCGAGGATTTAAGCTCGCCTAAAGGAGCTAAAACGGTTAGGGTGGAGCCGACTGAGTCTGGTCAATCAGGTGGTAGTCTCTCGTTTGCCATGGAGAGTTTCTCGGACGCCCCTGTTGTCGCTCCCGTCGCCCCAAGTAAGGGAGTCGACAAGGGAACCCGGGAGGCTACTCTTGCTGTTGACAACCGTTGTTCTACCCAGCATGATGACTTGGTACAGAAAGGGCGCAAGATTGAGTCCTTAACGGCCGAGATCAGGCGGTTGGGTAAGGAAATTAGTGACCTGAAGGCAACCAATAAAACTTTATCTGACAGCAACCAAGAACTGAAGGGGGCTAGTGACGTGGTGCAACGCCTGTCGCAGGAGAAGGATGACTTATCAAAGTTATTGGATGAGTCTTCAACCGAGAAAAAGGGGCTCCAGGCGGCGAATAGCCAGTTGACTGCCGAGAAAGCTGCCCTTCAGTCGGAGAAGGATGCGTTATCTGTTGAGTTGACTGGCGTATGTGGTAACTTGCATGCCGCCCAAGAGGATTTTAAAAAAGCTTCTAGGCGAGTACAGGAGCTGGAGCTTGGCTTGCCTTCAGTTTTTTATGATTCTTTTAACAACGCCCTGAATCAGGTTCAATTTCGATATCCTAAGATAGATGCTTCGGGCTTGAGTGCCGATTATGTGGTGGAAGGGAAACGCCTGCTTCATAAACTCTATAATGGCGAGACGACTGTGATAGAGGAAGGGCCTGACTCTGATGAGGAAGAGGATGATGTAGAGGAAGAATCAGCCAAGTTCGGTGACTCACCTTTAGGCGACCACCATGTGCTGAGCGGAGAGCAACCCGTAGATGGCGAACCTACTGACGCCGTAGAGATCCCGTCGTGCGGATCCCATCGTTGGCGATGGTGTTATTGGCAACACTTCCTTTGGAAGGTATTGGTGAGGAAGCTTCATCTAGGAATAACGTTGAAGACACTGCTGGGGAGGACGCCACTGAGGGGGTCTCAATAGCTGAAGAGGGAATCCCTACTGAAGATTGCCCAACTTAGTTTTTCTTTTTAACAACTATCTGTGTTTGCCATAGTTGATTCGCCACTGTAGAATTGTACTTGTTATTAATCAATGGATAACCTTTCTTTTGGCAACTTCAACGCTTGATTATTGATAAATGATTGTGTAATACGCTTATTAACTGCACACTGGCTGCGGAGTAATTTGGAACTTCCTCCAATATCTATGTTTTTTTTTATCTAATGTTAAATATACATCTGAGAGATTTTTTGTATTTCTTTATTCTTTATTGATGACCCTTGCCATTAAGGATAGAAATTTTCACTAGAGACCAAAATTTGAGCATGGTCTACCAAATTCTCTTACGGATTCATTATGGCACAAAAATTTTCAATCTCTGTTGCTTAAATTTTATGCATGATATAGACTTGATGAAGAATGTGTATACTGTTCAAAATACTAACTGTGTTCGTATATATGTTCTACCAACTTCAGAAATTGATAAATATACATCTGAGAGATTTTATATATTTCTTTATTCTTTATTGATGACCCTTGCCATTAAGGATAGAAATTTTCACTAGAGACCAAAATTTGAGCATGCTCTACCAAATTCTCTTACGGATTCATTATGGCACAAAATATGTTGGCACTTCAATCTCTGTTGCTTAAATTTTATGCATGATATAGACTTGATGAAGAATGTGTATACTGTTCAAAATACTAACTGTGTTCGTATATATGTTCTACCAACTTCAGAAATTGATAAATATACATCTGAGAGATTTTATATATTTCTTTATTCTTTATTGATGACCCTTGCCATTAAGGATAGAAATTTTCACTAGAGACCAAAATTTGAGCATGCTCTACCAAATTCTCTTACGGATTCATTATGGCACAAAAGGTGTTGGCACTTCAATCTCTGTTGCTTAAATTTTATGCATGATAAAGACTTGATGAAGAATGTGTATACTGTTCAAAATACTAACTGTGTTCGTATATATGTTCTACCAACTTCAGAAATTGATAAAAAACCTTTGTACCAATATGGCCTAACTTTCTTTTATAGCTTAGAGTCTCGCCATTTAAATTAGGGAATATTGGTTATAGAATATAAAGGTTACACATTTTGACAGACTAAAATCCAATCCAAACAAGTAAAGGAAGAAAAATGGGGAGAAAGAACCTTGATGATCCCTTTGAGGTGCTTGACGAGCTCAGAATCGGAATTTGGGAGGTGAGAATGGTCTGCGAGAAGGAACAAATAAGAGAATGAGGAAAAGAAGCGAAGAAAGAAAGGAAATTTGAAGAAAGTACCAGGTGGGTTGTAAAGGCCAGAGCGGTCGATGGAGATTGCAGTGCCCTCGTCCACGGAAGGTGTGTCAGGTGAAGAAGAAGAAAGCAATGATATATATTGTAATGAAGTAAGGGGGCGTTTAGTAGGAGAGAAATTTTTTTTTATCCGGATAATAATTATTACTGGAATGTAGCTGGAAATATATTTTACTGAAATATTATTAAAAAACTGTTTGGCAGACCTATATTTTTCTGGGAAAATTAAGGTTATTTTACTGAGTATGTGTTTGGTTGGTTATGAAATATGAGTGGGAATGTGAGGTTATTTTACCAAAATAACCTCACCTTTACCCTTTACCAAAATTGTAACGTTCGTTCCTGAAGACCACTTAGAAAGAGATCTGAGTTTGAAGTGAGTCAGATTTATTAACGTTCACGCTCCTCAACATACGAAGATGAAGGAGGGTAACTTGGATCAACTCAAAGGTAAATGCTTTGTCCTTCTGCCAGAAATATCTTTTTGCATCCTTCCACTCTTGTATATATCATTTTTCACTATCTTACTCGTAGCTTGAACTTCATGTTTACTTTGGTTTTCAATTACTGCTGTGAAATAGTATTTTGGGTTCATATCCTTAATCATACCTATATTGCACTTTCATTATGTATTGCACTTTCACATTCAGTTTCTGTATTTTATGGGTTTTATTGCCATTTGAATGGAATGCTTTTATTCTTTGTATTAGCTTTTAATATCCTGAATTTATTATTTGATAAGTGAACATTTCTTTTGCTCCAAAATCTATTAACAACGTAATGCTCATGACTTTTATTTCGATGAAATGAAACTCGTTAGTTTTTTCATTTCGCTGAATGGCTATTGCATTTTATGCTATGAAGCTGTTTTGCCTTCATTAGCTACTCTTTCGTAGTGCTGTTTTCAAATTCCAATTTCTAATTTCTACTAGCTAAAATTGTATCTACTTGATAACATGTTCAAACTTTGTTTTAAAATGTATCTCTCTTGAGCATTGGATTGTGTTCTAACAAATTTCTTTATTCTTAGGTTGTTGACTGAATATTATTTTGGTTAAATTTGTTTGTATTTCAGTCTTGCATGCACGGTGATCTAGCAGAATATAATTACTAGTTACTAAATATTCAATTAAATATTTTGGTTGCCATCATTTGCATATTTTTATTTAGCCTGCCAACAAGAGCAGGATATGAAATATACCAATCTCAATCTATGCTTCCCTGCTTTGTCCACCTTTAAATTATAGAATCATTGTGGTCGTTGTTGTGAGCTTTCTGGTTCTGTATAAATATAACAAATGGAAGTGTAAAATCGTAGGTATGTTGTTACCTTCCTCAAGGAGCATAGCAAGGAAATATATAATGAAGTTCGTGCAGCGTACATTGATATAATACAAGCTGACTTTTATAATTAGATTCTTGAATCAATATTGCTATTTGGATTAGAAAAGTTTTGGTTTATCTTAATGTAAATTATCTTTGTTTATATTCTTGCTTGTAAGCATCTTTTTCAAAGTATAATGAACTTTACAGCAACATTGTAGTTCATATGTCATTTGGAGAATCTTTTTTGTTTGACGAGTTTACTATTCTAAAACCTAAGCCGCCTATAATATGGGAACCTGTTGACATAAAGCTTGTTTTGTACGATTAATGAATGTACCTAAATATAGGTTCTATATTGAAGGAAGTCCACACCAAAAATACATATTACATATTTTTTAAATGGAATTGTGTTGTGAGATATGAATATGATAGCATTCAAGACTTTAGGTAGCTCTGTTTTGGCCTGACACACATATAACTGCTGGATGGAAGGTGCTACTGCTTCTATGTTGATCATCAAGTGTCTCTAATGCTATGCCTGGTTAATCTATTGCTAACCTTCATACATTCATAGTTCTAAATCGTCAATCCACATAAAAGACTTTGTGCTCGGGTTGTTCCATTAGATTAGGATATTGTTTGATTCACAGAAAGTTATATTTATCAGGTACACACCGGATTAATGTTATTCAATTCAGCCACCCTTTTTTTGTTCAAGTCAAATATTGGTTTAGAAAGTGTGGGGTTCATAAATAGGGTTCTACTGCATGTGTGGAACTAATCAATAGACCCAAAAGCTTGTAATAAGCACACGCACCCACCCCACATTTTCATCAAAAGCAATTAAAAAATTCATTGCTTACACTTTACTACCCTGCACAGTATAAGCGGATAATCCTGCAGAATTGGAATTGATGCCATCTGTTTTTGGTCGAAGACAAACATGGCCTTGAAACTGTAAATTTTTCTAATGCAATTGAATTTTCTTCACTGTACTCAACTTGGTTCATCATACTATAAGTTTACATACATGTAATGCAAATATGAACAATAGGACTTTTCTGAAGCACTTTCATTATCTTCATCCTCTTCAGATTGAGACTCAGCATCATCCTCATTGTTACCTCCTTCTGTAGTGTAACACCCCGTTCTAGAACCGGTTTGTTAACATCGCATTATGATATTAAGCGCAGTTACAATCACATGGGTTCAATTAAAATCCGGATAAATTTTTCATTTTAAAACGTACCGAACTTATAATACCCAATTTCGTGATCATAACCATATTACCTTGCGGAAACAGATAAATTAAGCTTAACATCATGTTCATTTTCCATTTTTAAACCATTAATTTACTTCTTATTTAGTTCACAACCTCTACTATATTGTAGGTTTCTTCATTAGCTATGCGTGGCTTCAAACCGCGCTCAAATCGGAGCACTGTAGCCCAAGTTAGGACAATTTGAAGCAACACAAGATAGTGTTGGTCACAGGCCCCGCGCGCTTCAGCGCGCTATCGGGCGCTCAAGCCTCCATCTGGGCGCTTAAGCGCACGGAGGCAGTAAGCATCAGGCATTCCAGTGTGGATGGGCGCTTAAGCGCGCATCAGGGCGCTCAAGCGCGCTATCCTGGGCGCTTAAGCTCCCATTGGGACGTTTTAGCGCGCAGAGTCAGAAGCATCTCCTCCTTCAGTGGCTAAGGGCGCTCAAGCGCGGACCAGGGCGCTCAAGCGCGCAACCCTGGGCGCTTAAGCCCCACCCTGGGCGCTAAAACACGAGGGGACAGTAAGCATCCCAACTTTCTGCAGCAAAGGGCGCTTAAGCGCAAGCCAGGGCGCTCCAGCGCGCAATCCTGGGCGCTTCAGCCCCCACTTGGGCGCTCCAGCGCGAGGAGGCAGAATGCATTGGCACACGGAGGGGCAGCAGGGCGCTTGGGCGCGCTCCTGGGCGCTTAAGCGCGCTGCCAGGGAATTCCAATTCCCACATTTTTCAAGTCCAAGCCTAGGGGAAGATGCATCCCCATTCCAAACCCCAATTGTCCATGCCCCAAAACTAAATCCTAGCACACATCCAACCTCTCCTCATGAGATTTAGCTAGAATTTGGGCAGCATGACCTTTGTTTTCTCATCGTTTACCAATTTAAACAAAGGGTACCTAATTGATTTTCAGCCCAACCAATTCAACAACTCAATACATAACAAGCATGCATATATTGAATTTCAAGTAGGCATCATTTACATTACATATCATTTACAAATCATAGAACTTAGCTTACAAAACACTATGATCATTCCCTTGGCTCCCATCAACAAAAGGTGTAACCAAAGGCATGAGCATAGGCTAAGTTCATCCAATGAATCAAGATATACAAATGACCAAAGGCTTTGAAAATAAATTCCTATACATGTCAACTACAAAGGCATGCATAAACTCAAAAGGAATGCCACATTTCATGCATAATCCAGATATGGCCACTTGCCACCAGAGGCTCCTGCAGCATCCTTACCTGAAAGGGGGTCCCCACAACACGGGGTGAGATATACGAATATATCCAGTAAACCAGGGGTCCTTGGAGCATCTCTCCACCCCACAGTTCCATATCAGTGTAATAGCAATAACAATAATAATGCAGTAAATACATATCTATGCAAAGTGCAATACATCTCCAGGAGAAATCCCTCGAGCTCTCAAGCTGTCCTAAGGAAACTCAGATGCAAATAGTCCTACTGGCCAGCTAACTACCATGTATGATTTACGCATCGTCATGCAACATACCAACATAGGGAAACACCATCCTATGCCACACCAAATGCATACACATACGTATAACAAAGCATTACACTATTTTATTGCATTTATATACACAATCACAACCTCCACCCTTTCAGGGCTTGGTAGAACAGTCAAGGGAATTACACCCAAGGTCCGAAGGCTTACCTCAATGCTTCAGTCGACCTTTGTTCTTCACCAACAGTTTCAGCAATCCACTTTTACAAATATACACCTATACAAGGGTAATGCAATTAACATATTGCATTCAAGGATAACTCATCATCATCAATCCAAGCTATCCTATTCATACCACAACACAAGGATGAGCTTACCAATTCCAATGAGCTATTCAAGCTCCATAGCTTGCTCCAATGATTGATCACTCACGGTTGGTCCAAATGTCTCAATCCTAGACATCACAAGGACACAATCAATCATTCAACTCACTAATTGTTCAACATGCTAGAATACTAACCAATCCAAGCATGAATTTTCCAATATTATGAACAATTATCAAATGACCATCTAGGCTCATTTCCACCGATTAAATGTCGTTCCTAGCATTTTTCACAACATGCTCTAAGCTTAAATCTTCCTAGAACATAGTCAACTTACTCACAATTTCTAAAATTCCCACTTTACTATTCACAAAACCCTACTCATGAAATTTTCCATGAAAATAAGGTTCAAGGGTTTAAATCTTACCACCAATGGTTGCACAACAATGATGTGAGTGCTCCTCAAGCTCCCATGGAGGTAGAAGCCACCAAAACTCCAAAATCTCACCAATGGCCGAATTTTTGAGAGGCAATATCCCTCTCCACAATGCTCCCCACTCAAAACAAAGCAAGGATTATGAAAGAGGAGGAGATTCTAAGCGATTTAGGCTTTTGAATCACTCAAATCGGTTAAGGTTTCCTCTCTCTCTCTCTCTCTCCCTTTCTTCTCCCTTCTTCTCCCTCTCCTTTCTTCTCTTCTGGTTCGACGGGTTGCTGGGGGAAATGGGGGGTTCTTTTTGGTGTTTTATCACTTAACATTGGTTAAGTGGTAACATGTGGGTATTGGTTCGTCTATCTATTTAACTCCAATAATTACCAAACTTTACCCAAAAGTCTGGAATATTATTCTAGGAATATTACTATTTTTATTTTTATATTTTGGGCACTTTCGTCAGTACCCATTTATACCCCTTAATTTTCACTGAGTACACTTTTTAACTCCAAAGTGACTCAGATTCATTTAATTAAGCCTTATACTTAATTTCACTCACTAAAACATGTTTAATTAATTAATTACACTAGATTTACTAATTAATTAAGTTGGGCTATTATAATCACCCCACCTTTTAGCGATTTTGTCCGCAAAATCAAGAACGTACCTGTCCTTAAACTCAGGATATTGCCGGAGAAGCTCATCTTCCCGCTCCCAAGTGGACTCTTCAGGCGTCCTTCCTTCCCACTGGACTTTCACCATAGGAATAGATTTATTTCTCAGCTTCTTCTCATCTCTTTCGAGTATCTTCAGTGGTCCAACAGGAGTCTTCAAATTCTCCCGGATTTCAACATTATCAGGTTGAACCACATGAGAAGGATCAGCTACATATTTCCTCAGCTGAGAAACATGAAACACATCATGCAAATTTGCCAATTGCGGAGGTAAGGCAAGCTGGTAGGCAACCGGTCCCACCCTACGAAGAATCTGATAGGGTTCAATAAATCTCGGACTCAGCTTCCTCACTCCAAGGGCTCGTCCCACACCCGTAACCGGTGACAGCTTCAGGAACACATGATCTCCCTCCTCAAACTCTAGAGGCCGGTGCTTGAGATCATAATAACTTTTCTGACGATCCTGAGCCCTTTTCAGACGATCCTTAATCATTTTAATCTGCTCAGTAGTCTCCTGAACAAAATCCAATCCAAACCGCTCTGTGTCTCCAACCTCTGACCAACAAGTAGGTGTCCTACACCTGCGACCATACAAGGCCTCGTAGGGAGCCATACCCAGACTAGCATGAAAACTATTATTATATGAAAACTCAACCAGCGGGAGATATCGATCCCATGCAGTACCCTGCTCCAGGGTGCAAGCCCTCAGCATATCCTCCAACGTCTGAATGGTCCTCTCAGTCTGACCATCCGTCTGTGGGTGATAAGCAGTGCTCAGTCTCAACTGAGTGCCAAGAGCCTCCTGCAATGCTCCCCAGAAGCGAGAAGTGAACTTCTCCCGATCACTAACAATGCTCTCAGGCACCCCATGAAGCCTCACAATCTCCTTCACATAGAGCCTAGCCAATCTCTCCGCAGAGAAATCTACCCGAACTGGCAAAAAGTGTGCGGATTTTGTCAATCTATCCACAATCACCCATATAGAATCATAACTAGCCTGTGTTCGCGGCAATCCCACTACGAAATCCATGGAGATACTCTCCCATTTCCATTCAGGAACATCCAGAGGTTGCAACATACCAGAAGGCTTTTGATGCTCAATCTTTACCTTCTGACAAATGAGACACTTAGAGACAAATTCGGCAATATCTTTCTTCATACCAGGCCACCAGAAATTCATCTTTAGGTCCTGATACATCTTTGTAGCTCCCGGATGAACTGTAAAATGACCCTTATGAGCCTCTGTCATCACTTCCTCCGCCAACTGCCTAGGTACAACAACACGACCCTGATATAGTAGTACACCCTCATCATTGCAGGATACACCACTCTGACCTTTTAGTCGCTTAGCACTTTCATTTTGCAGCTGGGCTTCTTTGATTCTGGTCATCAGTTCATTCTCAATGCTTGTGATTTCAAAGCCACAAACTTTGCATGGAAAGATTTTAGATAATTGAATATCTCTGAACCTCTCAATCACATCATAATCTCTGATCATCATACTTGATATACTCACGGATTTTCGGCTCAGTGCATCAGCTACAACATTAGCCTTGCCAGGATGATATTTCAATTCGAAATCATAGTCCTTTAGGAACTCGGTCCACCGTCGTTGTCTCATATTCAGCTCCTTCTGATCAAACAAGTATTTCAAACTCTTGTGATCGCTGAATATTGCAAATTGCATTCCATACAAGAAATGCCTCCACTGTTTCAACCCAAAAACAATTGCAGCAAGCTCAAGGTCATGGGTTGGATAATTTTCTTCATGCGGTTTCAATTGCCTCGATGCATAAGCTACCACCCGCCTATCTTGCATCAGCACACATCCCAATCCCTTCTTGGACGCATCGCTGTATAGCTCAAATTCACCTTCCGGGTCGGGAAGTACTAACACCGGAGCGGTCGTTAGTTTCTCCTTAAGGCTCTGAAAGCATTCTTCACATTCTTGTGTCCAAACAAATGGAGTATCCTTCCGGGTCAAACGGGTCAATGGCAACACCATGGCTGAAAATTCTTTAATGAATCTCCGGTAATAACCAGCCAAACCCAGAAAACTTCTTATTTCTGTTACTGTCTTGGGTCTTTCCCAATCAACAACTGCCTCTATCTTGCTAGGATCAACCGCTACTCCATCAGCAGAGATAACGTGACCCAGAAATTGCACTTGAGAAAGCCAAAATTCACATTTAGAAGGCTTTGCATATAACTGTTTCTCTCTGAGAATTTGCAACACAGTTCTCAAGTGACCTTCATGCTCTTCCTTACTCTTCGAATATATCAGGATATCATCAATAAACACAATCACGAATTGATCCAGAAACGGCTTAAATATGCGATTCATGTAATCCATAAACACCGCAGGAGCATTAGTGAGTCCAAATGGAATTACTTGATACTCATAATGTCCATATCTAGATCGGAAGGCAGTCTTCGGAATATCTTCCTGCCTAATTCGGATTTGATGATAACCCGACCTCAAATCAATCTTTGAGAAAACACAAGCACCCCTCAACTGATCAAGCAAATCATCTATGCGAGGGAGAGGATACTTGTTCTTAATGGTAACCTTATTCAACTGACGGTAATCAGTGCACAATCTCATGCTACCGTCCTTCTTCTTAACAAATATGACTGGTGCTCCCCACGGGGACACACTAGGCCGGATAAACTGCTTAGCCGAAAGCTCTTCAATATGCTTCTTTAACTCGGCTAGTTCCGGTGGTGACATCCTATACGGAGCCAGAGAGATAGGCCCCACACCAGGCAACAGATCAATCGTGAACTCAATCTCTCTATGAGGCGGAAGTTGTGGAATTTCATCGGGAAACACATCCACAAACTCCCTCACCACGGAAATAGTGCCAATCTCCTCATGACTTCCGCCTACTAAACCCCCCACAAAGACATATCCCAATGCCCCGGCCCTCAAAGCCTTTCTAACCTGCAACACAGATAGATATGGGGAAGAACTAGTAGCAGAATCATCAGCATCAAGCACAATCCTTTTACCACAGCAGTCTATCATAACACAGTTCTTTGACAACCAGTCCATACCCAAGATAACTTGAAGGCTGATCATAGGTAAACAAATAAAATCCAGCACGTAATCTCGGCCTTCATATTTGAATTCGACATCTTTACACAACACGGATGTATAACACTCCTCTCCAGTAGCAGTAACCACTTTCATTGGAGGGCGAATGTCATACATTTGCAAATTTAGCCCAACGGCCATAAAATCAGACATACAGGAGTGTGTAGCTCCTGAATCAAACAACACTTCAAACATCCATATTATCAATGTAAATTGTACCTTTCACCAGATTCGGAGCCTTCTCCGATTGCTGACGGTCCATGGTATATACTCTACCAACCGTCTGAGACTCTAGCATAGGTTGAACAACAGAGACCGGAACAGCAGTAGCTTGAACTGCCATAGTCCTTGCTTCGTTCTGAGGACACTGCCTGGAGTAGTGACCGGATCTTCCACATTTAAAACAAATCAATTCACCGGTAGCACATGGACCCCTATGCTCTTTGCCACATCCCTTGCACTTGGGAGGAGGTCCTCTATCAACAAAATTCTTCTGAGTACCGGGTTTTTTGAACAAGTCAAAGGGCTTATTCGCATTCAGCTTCTTGCCTTGCACCTTCCTGTTCTTCCAATAACCTGAGCCCGTTGCTTTATTGGAACTAGGTGCCTGGGCCTCAGAAGACTTCTTGGTTTGGGACACCTTATACACTTCTTCCACCTTTCTACACTGGTTTACAAACCGACTGAACTCTCGGATGTCACAATTTGACATCTTCCGAGACATCTTCTCATTAAGACCCCATTGGAATTTGGAGGTCATTTCAGCCGGGGTGGGTAAGGCTCGCCCATAGTTGGCGTATTTCACCAACTCATTGAATTTTGAGAAGTATTGGTCAATAGACATCGACCCTTGCTTGAGATCGTTATACTCGTTCTGTTTTTGTTCCCTAGCCTCTCTAGGGAAGTAGTTGTCCAAGAACAATGTCTCGAACAACCGCCATGTGATCTCACGACCTTCAGCTTCTAATGGCTGCACAGTATTTGTCCACCAATCTTCTGCTTCCTCTTCCAGCATATAAACAGAGTAAGCCAACTTCATTGCGTCCGGGCATCTCATCACCCTGAATATTTTCTCCATCGCTTGGAGCCATTTTGCAGCCGCCATTGGCTCATAACCTCCCTTAAAAGAAGGAGGTTTGTGTTTTCAGAAAGCCATCAATCTCCTTTCCTCCACTTCATGATCACCAACATTTTCAACTCGAGGTTGACGAACCTCGGTGTGATGACTCCGACTCCCAGAGTGGTGACTACCCTCACCCTCATTGTTACCCACTCCACCCTCTTCCTGTGAAGGAGGTGGAGAAGGCGTAGCAGTGTGAGGAGGAGGAGTGGGTTGCCGGTTCACGGGCCTAGGACCCCTCAACGTCCTCAACTCGGTCATCATTGCGGCCATAGCAGTCCGCGAATCTTCATTTGTTTTCATCAGATTTTCATTGGCTTGCCTGCTAGCAGCCAACTCCCTCTGAACAGCTGCAAGAGCTTCAGCTACGGGATCAGGCTGTACGCCCGTTGCCCCACGGCCACTTCTAGGCCTCACAAGAGCAGCCAAAACAGGTTCTGGCTGAGCATTGGTGTTTGATGGTCCGGGGTTGTTTCGGTTCCTCGTCATGTCACTACACATGTTACACAAAGAAGTGAGTTGATCAGGCCCACACTTAGTGATCACAAATGCAATAATCATACAGAGTACTAAAACAACTATAAAGCATCAAACACTAAGCATACTCAACAATAGCTAACAGTTATTCCCGACGAAACTGCTCTGATACCATAAAGTGTAACACCCCGTTCTAGAACCGGTTTGTTAACATCGCATTATGATATTAAGCGCAGTTACAATCACATGGGTTCAATTAAAATCCGGATAAATTTTTCATTTTAAAACGTACCGAACTTATAATACCCAATTTCGTGATCATAACCATATTACCTTGCGGAAACAGATAAATTAAGCTTAACATCATGTTCATTTTCCATTTTTAAACCATTAATTTACTTCTTATTTAGTTCACAACCTCTACTATATTGTAGGTTTCTTCATTAGCTATGCGTGGCTTCAAACCGCGCTCAAATCGGAGCACTGTAGCCCAAGTTAGGACAATTTGAAGCAACACAAGATAGTGTTGGTCACGGGCCCCGCGCGCTTCAGCGCGCTATCGGGCGCTCAAGCGCGCGCTATCGGGCGCTAAAGCCTCCATCTGGGCGCTTAAGCGCACGGAGGCAGTAAGCATCAGGCATTCCAGTGTGGATGGGCGCTTAAGCGCGCATCAGGGCGCTCAAGCGCGCTATCCTGGGCGCTTAAGCTCCCATTGGGACGTTTTAGCGCGCAGAGTCAGAAGCATCTCCTCCTTCAGTGGCTAAGGGCGCTCAAGCGCGGACCAGGGCGCTCAAGCGCGCAACCCTGGGCGCTTAAGCCCCACCCTGGGCGCTAAAACACGAGGGGACAGTAAGCATCCCAACTTTCTGCAGCAAAGGGCGCTTAAGCGCAAGCCAGGGCGCTCCAGCGCGCAATCCTGGGCGCTTCAGCCCCCACTTGGGCGCTCCAGCGCGAGGAGGCAGAATGCATTGGCACACGGAGGGGCAGCAGGGCGCTTGGGCGCGCTCCTGGGCGCTTAAGCGCGCTGCCAGGGAATTCCAATTCCCACATTTTTCAAGTCCAAGCCTAGGGGAAGATGCATCCCCATTCCAAACCCCAATTGTCCATGCCCCAAAACTAAATCCTAGCACACATCCAACCTCTCCTCATGAGATTTAGCTAGAATTTGGGCAGCATGACCTTTGTTTTCTCATCGTTTACCAATTTAAACAAAGGGTACCTAATTGATTTTCAGCCCAACCAATTCAACAACTCAATACATAACAAGCATGCATATATTGAATTTCAAGTAGGCATCATTTACATTACATATCATTTACAAATCATAGAACTTAGCTTACAAAACACTATGATCATTCCCTTGGCTCCCATCAACAAAAGGTGTAACCAAAGGCATGAGCATAGGCTAAGTTCATCCAATGAATCAAGATATACAAATGACCAAAGGCTTTGAAAATAAATTCCTATACATGTCAACTACAAAGGCATGCATAAACTCAAAAGGAATGCCACATTTCATGCATAATCCAGATATGGCCACTTGCCACCAGAGGCTCCTGCAGCATCCTTACCTGAAAGGGGGTCCCCACAACACGGGGTGAGATATACGAATATATCCAGTAAACCAGGGGTCCTTGGAGCATCTCTCCACCCCACAGTTCCATATCAGTGTAATAGCAATAACAATAATAATGCAGTAAATACATATCTATGCAAAGTGCAATACATCTCCAGGAGAAATCCCTCGAGCTCTCAAGCTGTCCTAAGGAAACTCAGATGCAAATAGTCCTACTGGCCAGCTAACTACCATGTATGATTTACGCATCGTCATGCAACATACCAACATAGGGAAACACCATCCTATGCCACACCAAATGCATACACATACGTATAACAAAGCATTACACTATTTTATTGCATTTATATACACAATCACAACCTCCACCCTTTCAGGGCTTGGTAGAACAGTCAAGGGAATTACACCCAAGGTCCGAAGGCTTACCTCAATGCTTCAGTCGACCTTTGTTCTTCACCAACAGTTTCAGCAATCCACTTTTACAAATATACACCTATACAAGGGTAATGCAATTAACATATTGCATTCAAGGATAACTCATCATCATCAATCCAAGCTATCCTATTCATACCACAACACAAGGATGAGCTTACCAATTCCAATGAGCTATTCAAGCTCCATAGCTTGCTCCAATGATTGATCACTCACGGTTGGTCCAAATGTCTCAATCCTAGACATCACAAGGACACAATCAATCATTCAACTCACTAATTGTTCAACATGCTAGAATACTAACCAATCCAAGCATGAATTTTCCAATATTATGAACAATTATCAAATGACCATCTAGGCTCATTTCCACCGATTAAATGTCGTTCCTAGCATTTTTCACAACATGCTCTAAGCTTAAATCTTCCTAGAACATAGTCAACTTACTCACAATTTCTAAAATTCCCACTTTACTATTCACAAAACCCTACTCATGAAATTTTCCATGAAAATAAGGTTCAAGGGTTTAAATCTTACCACCAATGGTTGCACAACAATGATGTGAGTGCTCCTCAAGCTCCCATGGAGGTAGAAGCCACCAAAACTCCAAAATCTCACCAATGGCCGAATTTTTGAGAGGCAATATCCCTCTCCACAATGCTCCCCACTCAAAACAAAGCAAGGATTATGAAAGAGGAGGAGATTCTAAGCGATTTAGGCTTTTGAATCACTCAAATCGGTTAAGGTTTCTCTCTCTCTCTCTCTCTCTCCCTTTCTTCTCCCTTCTTCTCCCTCTCCTTTCTTCTCTTCTGGTTCGACGGGTTGCTGGGGGAAATGGGGGGTTCTTTTTGGTGTTTTATCACTTAACATTGGTTAAGTGGTAACATGTGGGTATTGGTTCGTCTATCTATTTAACTCCAATAATTACCAAACTTTACCCAAAAGTCTGGAATATTATTCTAGGAATATTACTATTTTTATTTTTATATTTTGGGCACTTTCGTCAGTACCCATTTATACCCCTTAATTTTCACTGAGTACACTTTTTAACTCCAAAGTGACTCAGATTCATTTAATTAAGCCTTATACTTAATTTCACTCACTAAAACATGTTTAATTAATTAATTACACTAGATTTACTAATTAATTAAGTTGGGCTATTATATGTAGGATTTGATTTCTGCTGTTGCTGGTCTGATAGTATAAATCTCCAGTGTCCTTCCCACTTGTTATCCTCTGTACATCCTCCTCAGCATTCTTAACATCCTCTAAAGTAATTGATTGGATCCTGTCAAGTTTTATGTGAATAGCTAAAACTTCTAGTGTACACTGAAAACTTCTAGTCTACTTATTGTTATTTTCTTCTAAAAGCATGAAAAGCTTTTAAAATAATTCAAGGAAATTCATTAATTTAGTTACTGCTCTAGACATGTGAATTATCAAATTCATTGTCCAACTTCATTGCTATGCTGTATTATGATAAGTTGCCGAAAGTTTAAATCTTTAGTTTGATCTAGGTTTATGCTTTATGTACCGTAGCTTCCAAAACTATACATTGAATTTATGACATGTTGCTGTTTTTTTCTTATATTTGCAATTTGTTACACTGAAGGGTGATATATTGGAAGACCCAGCAAAATAACCTAAAAAGGATATGTACATGATGACTGTAGACCCCCAGGATGCTCCAAATCAACCAGAGTAAGCATGCTCTTAACTTGTCTGCAAACTTTATTTATAGCCTCCCAAACCAAGTTTTATTTGTTTCTTTTATTTTTTCCATAAGAGTGGAATGGCATCTCCTGTGCAATATTATGGATTCAGTTTTCTTAACACTGACTATTGTATGCACATGCATAAATGGCACTCTTACAATTGTTTACCTTATGGATATTTAACTCTATTTTTGTGTGAATGGTGTCTGTTCAGATTGAGGATATTTTGAATGAACTTGCAAGTATGGTATTTGCACTTGACCCATCAGGGGGGCAAGTTGGGGATGATTTAATAGCATTGCTTCAGCAGGGGAGACAATTTAATGAATCTAATAACAGTATGGTGTTCTCCCACTATTATACTCATTGGTATGTATATCCATCAAGTTCTCTTGGTCAAATGGTAGAGCATATGGATGATAGTAATAGACATGGTTTTTGTTGAGAAGAGCCAATTTATTGAGAGTGTGTGCGAAATTGTTGTCAAGGGTCATTGGGGAAATTTGTTGAATGCAAAGAATGGCTCTGCTCTCACTTCCACTACCATACACAATGTGCTTTTGCATCTCTCACTTTATGGTTATGGGCCCTCTTATTCCTTTCCATTCTTCAAATGGGTTGCCTCCATCCCACATTTTAGCCACTCCTTGCAATGTTCATGGACCATGATTCACATACTCACCAAACACAAACATTTCAAAACTGCACAACAGATGCTTGACAAAATTGCCCACAAGGATTTTCTTTCATCTCCTTCGGTTTTGAGCTCTTTGGTGAGGATTCATGACGACCCAGAAGTTAATTCACATGTTTTGAGCTGGCTTGTGATACATTATGCAAAGTCAAAGATGACCCAGGATGCAATTCAAGTTTTTGAACAGATGAGGTTGTTATATAAAGTCAAGCCCCATTTGCATGCTTGTACTGTGCTTTTGAATTGTTTGGTGAATGATGGGATTACTAATATGGTTTGGAAGATTCATAAGAGAATGGTTCAAGGTGGGGTTGTTCTCAATATCTACATTTACAATTGTTTAATCCATGCTTGTTCCAAATCAGGAGATGTGGAGAGGGCAGAACAGTTACTAAATGAGATGGAAGCAAAGGGTGCGCTTCCTGACATTTTTACATATAATACTTTGATATCATTATATTGCAAGAAAGGTATGCACTATGAGGCTTTGTCCATCCAGGACAAAATGGAAAAAGAGGGGATAAATCTTGATATAGTTAGTTATAATTCTCTTATTTATGGATTTTGCAGAGAAGGTAGGATGAGAGAAGCTATGAGGATGTTTAGTGAAATTAAAAGTGCAGCTCCCAATCACGTGACATATACTACGTTGATTGATGGTTATTGTAAAACGAATGAACTGGAGCAAGCTTTGAAAATGCGTGAGCTGATGGAGGCTAAGGGATTGTACCCTGGAGTTGTTACTTATAATTCAATTTTGCGCAAGCTGTGTCAAGATGGCAGGATAAAAGATGCAAACAAGCTTTTGAATGAGATGAGTGAAAGAAAAGTTCAAGCTTGAGAGAATATACATTACTCAGCAAATGTTTTCAAAAAAATTGTTCCTGAAAGTTTGCGTAAGTTTCTGTATTCCTCTATTCATGTGTGAGTCTGCTATGGCTCAAATTGTATACAGTTAGCAAGAAATAGAGAAAGAAAATGTTAAAAATATCATTTGAATTATATTTTTTATTTATGCCTGCATAGATATTGGACGTTTTTCATTACTATTCGATGAGAGCTTGGGATGGCATTGGCTTCAAATGAAAAGCAAGCATAAGAGAACAGATACTGCAAGTGTGGACATGAAATGGTATAACCTTGATAGACTGCAAAGGAGGTGAAGTTTGCTAGTAAGCGCAATGCAAAGATCTCTTGGGTATACTTTACTATTGGATGAGAACAGATATTTTTTATTTATGTTTCTTTATTGAAAAGGGAAAGAATCGAAATATGCATTTATTATACCCAACGAAAAGTTGCAAATTTTTTTTTCTTCACTCAGGGTATACTTTACTAATATTCACTCAAGTAAACAAAAAAAACATATTAGTATATCACGAAATAAAATTGGTTTGTCATGTAAAAAAAAAAAATTAGATATTTTTTCAGTAGTTACGTTATTTTTTTTTTTTTGGTAATCAGTAGTTACAGTCTTTGTTTTGAAGAATTATACATCCAACTCATTAAATTTATCTATATCTTAATATATATATACATATATATATATATAATAAATTTAAATTTAATATAAAATTATTGATTAAACGAAAAAATAAAAAATTATAAAAATATATATATAGTTGATAAATTGAAATTTGAAATTTAATTGAAAAAAATTACATATTTATACTTTAAAAGAAAATAAATTAAAAACTTAACTTAAAAGAATAATATAAAAAGATAAAAACTTTCCATACAAGTATTTTTAAGAAAATATTTAATATAAACCTTTTAAATATATATGTATAATCAATTTAAAAAATATATAAAAATTATAAATTAAAAGAGAACAAAATTATTTTTTTAAAAGTATGTATAATTAATACAAAACAATTTAAATTTTAAATTTTAAAATTAAATAACAAAATTGAAAATGACAAATATTATTCGGTTAAAAAAAGTAGAAAAATGTATTCACTATAAATATGTAAATTTTAATTTAATGCATATGAAAGAAATTAAATTTTCACTCTTTTGATGTAAGAGCATAATTAACACAAAATATTTACCGGTGATTGTTATTTTTGAAGAATTATACATCCAACCATTAAATTTTATGGATACTTAATAATTGATTTTTTTGGAACATATAATGTCAAAAAATTTATATAATATTTTACCAAAAATATTGTAAGGACTTATAGAGAGAAAATAGTATTAATATAGTTTATTTTTAATACCATTTTTTTATTAAAAAAAATATATTATGTCTATATTCATATAAATATTATATTGCTTCTTAATTAGATTTGTCTAATATGTTGATTTTAATAAAAAATTATACCTTTTTGTGCTAAGAAAAATCGCGACCTATAACTTGAAAAATCATTTTTTAAATTTTCAAAAGCTCTAAAAAATCTAGTGTTTTTGAGATGGATTAGGTTAGACTTTTGATGGATTGTTATTTCTGTGTTGTTTTGTGATGAAAATCGCTTAAAATTTTATTTTTTTAGCTTTGATGAAGCTCTCCTAGCGAAACCCGGTTTCGAGCAGATAGACCCACCAAAAGAAGAAAAAACTTTGCAATTAGAAATCTTAAGAAAACATAGAGGTTAGTATAAGATTGTAAAAAATACATCATATCTGTATTTCTCACTAAAAAATCTAATAAAATTTACATTAATAGAAAATTAACTAAAATCGTCATATATTTTGATATCACAAGATTTTTTTTCTTTATTTAAAATACTTGTTGAATACCACTAGATTTGACTACACTCTAAAATAATCTTTTAAATTCTTAATCAAATATTAAGTGATTTTTTTCAATCCTTCAAAATCATAATTAAATATTAGTAGATTTTTTTTTGGGTTGGAATCATAATTAAATTCTTTAAAATTTCAATCCATAGAAAATCTTTCCAAATTAGCACCCTCTCTCTTTATATATATTAGTAATATATGTCTATTTTATTTAATTACTCTTCACACACGGCTCAATCCATTACCCTCTCCTTCCCTCTCTGAAACTGCGATTTTTTTTTTGAATACTCTTCACTCGGTCTCGTCGTCTACTGCTATGGCAGAACCATCCACCGCCGAAACCACCTCTGCCAGCGATGCTCATCCGCCGGCGCTAGCTTCCTCGAAACCACCTTCGTTCGGCGACACTCCGTACACGTCAGCTACCACCTTCGAAGAATTGAATCTCTCACCGGAGCTTTTGAAGGGACTCTACGTGGAGATGAAGTTCCAAAAACCTTGTAAGATCCAAGTCGTAACCTTGCCTATGATCTTGAATCCTCCGAATAGGGATTTGATCGCACAGGCGCATAACGGTTCCGGAAAAACCACGTGTTTCCTTCTTGGTATGCTTAGTCGAGTTGATCCAAAGTTGCAGGCTCCTCAAGCTTTCTGCATTTGCTCAACCAGGGAGTTGGCTATTCAGGTAAGGTTCTAAGACATTGCTTTTTTAAATCGACATATAATCTTATTCTATCATGGATTAAATAACCCATAACTATGGTTGGAAGAGCATTACTTTGGAGTCAGATTCTGTTCAAGCTTTAAGCTATCTTACCAAGTCTAGTAATGAAACTCGAAAGCCATCACTGGTGGCTGGGATTCGAGTTGTGCTTTCTAGAGACTGGACTGTCTCTTTCAAACATGTTCCAAGGTGCTGCAATAATTGTGCTGATTGGATTGCAAAAAAAGCCTTAGATACTTCCTTTAGCCTTATTACAATCTCATCCCCCCAACCTTCTTGCTGCGGACCTGCTTGATCCTGGACAAGTCCCAGCTGATGTTTAGTTACTGCTGTTCGATCTGCTATGGCTAACAGTAGTGCCTTTTACGCTTTCTGTTTTTTGCTGTCTTTGTAGTTTGCTTTTAGTTTCTGTTTTTGTCTTGTGGGGCTATGCCCCATGTAATTACCAAAAAATAAAAAAAAATAACCCATAACTAAGAATGCAATACCTGGATACGATATGTGGTGGCCCCATACTTCCGGAAGAAAAGCTATATCCCTCCAAAGGGATATATGATCGTGAGCCCTAGAAGTTTTTCTTTTTTCTTCTTTTTTTTTTGGAAAAGCTCAGCAATGGCCTGCGTGGTTTACTAGAATCACCTATATCCCGTTGTTTTTTTTTATCACATATGTCTATTTGCAAAAAGTTATGTTTTTTATCACACATGCAGCTGTAATTTTTTTTTCACAAATCACATGGGTATATGTGATAAAAAAATAATCACAAGGCATAGGTAATTCTAAAACAAACCATTTACTGCAAAATCACCTATGCCTTTGATTATTTTTTCTCACTCGTGTGGTTTGCAAAAGTATATGTTTTTTTATCTGCTCCCTTGATTTTTTACTTATACAACCCATGGAACATATGTCATAGGTGATTCTAAAGCAAACCAGCTTCGGTGAACTTTCTTGTTTTTTTTTATTATTCGTTTGTTAATCACTGTTATCGAACTTTTCCTCGTGATTTTTTTATTTTTTACAAATCAATGGGACATATGTGATAAAAAACACTGGGCCATAGATGATTCTAAAACAAACCGGCATTGGTGAACTTTCCTTTTTTTTTATTCGTTTGTTAATCACTGTTATCGAACATTGTGATTTGTGACTGTGTTAGTTGTAGCTTGATGATTATTGTGTTGTGTGGCAGAATACTGAAGTTCTTCGAAAGATGGGAAAGTACATGGGGATTAGCTCAGAATGTGCTATACCAGACAGTAGTGATGCTTTGCCGATAGCGAAACGGGCACCGATTATGGCTCAAGTGGTTATTGGGACCCCTGGCACGATTAATAAGTGGATGGCTTATAAGAAACTTGGGGTGACAAGGTTGAAGATTCTTGTTTTTGATGAGGCTGATCAAATGCTTGCTGAGGTAATTCTATCGTGATAATGAAATGTTGTTTATTTAGAATTTGAGGTTTCATTGTCCTTGGACTAGGCAAGCACATAGCCTTATCATTCTCCCTGAGCTTATTATTGTTACAATCTTTTGGGGAGTTGGCAACACCCTTGTTTTTTAATAGAATAAGTTACAATTAAATGGTAAGTTGTGACTCTCCTCCTTTAATGATGGATAAAGAGGAAGAGTGCACTAGTAGACCGCTTGTTTTAACCATAGTTTTAAATAGCGGGTAGCGGCTGGTAGCGGCCGACCCCAAAAACGCAATAGCGGTATAGCGGGTAGCGGTAAAACCGCTACTGTGAAGTCCATATAAATACTTATAATAAATTATACCACATATATTAATGCTATATAAATGCTAAAAGATAAGAAATCACCCAAAATAGGAGGAAATAAGTAATGAAAAGTATGATACTACACATTCAAAACAAGGATTAAAGGGAACATAAAGGAAGCAACATACTAGTTCATTGAAGGAAACTAAATTAATAATATTCTAGGAACATAAAGGATCCAAGTAGAGTCAAATACAAATTGCTCTATCAAAGTCAAGAAGGAAAAGAACTAATCAGAATTATCATCAAACATTTCTTCAAAGCCTTGTTCTTCTCCACCCTCACTTTCTTCACTAGTGTTAAATTTGTAGATTTGTTCATCCTCATCTTCTATTTCTTGGTTATCACCTTCTTCAATCTGTTCATCCCTTATTCCCTTAGAGCTTGATGGCATAGAGGCAGCTTCCTTCCTGAATCTAGTATGCTGCCTAGTGTAAGTTATAGGCTCATTAGCCCCAGTTACATTAGCAACATCTCCCCAAGTCAATGTATCATCATCAAAAACAAACTCATTTTCTGCATCTTCACCCACTTCTCCCACCAACCATTCATTACTTTCATCAATGTCTTTTAGGACAATAGGAGAGGGAAAGAAGATGACTACAGAAAGAAAACCATATTTGCCTCTTTTCTTAGCAAAAGTCTACGGAAAGAAAATGATGAAAAAGACGAGGGAAGAAAACAAGATTTCCCTCTCTTTTCATCAGCAAGATATAAAAAACAAATGCAAGTAAATATATATATATATATA